GCCCGCCCCCAGGGGCCGGGGCTCAGGCGCGCCGGGAGGTGTGGGGCTTCCCCTGGCGCGCTCCGCGCCGGGCCGGGCCGGGTCCGGGCAGCCGCTCGCTCGGGGCCGCGCTTGCCCGGCCTGTGGGCGGGAGCGGTGAAGGGACAAGGCAGGGCCCCGCGGCCTTCGGCGGGCCTGAGCTCTGCCAGGTCGCGGCTGGGGGACACAGCCGTGTGCTGCCGCTGCGGGTTTGTACCCCTAGAGTTTAACAGCACTTGTCCCGTATTTTACCTTTTTTATTTTTTCCCTAAATTGTAAAAAGGCAAAAATGACTCATTCTTAATAGTTCTGACTGGAGCTCGTTCAACCATAGACTAGACGTCATAGTTGGCAGCAGCTAACTGCCAGGTAGGACAGCCAAAGGGGAAATAATGTTTTCAGAAGCTTTAAATTTGCTTCTGTAAAATGCTCATTTGACCTTCATGTGCCAGATTTTTTTGTGCGTGTGATGTGTGTGGCCATTTTATTCATATATAGGGTAATTAGCTTTCAGGTGAAGCATTGGTGAAAATGTTCCAGCTCGGCATCCCCTCCAAAGTGCCTACGTGCTATCCATCAAAATGTTAAGTGGAATGCAGCACGACCTTGTTTAACAATGGATCAGTGTAGTGATGTCAGTGGAGAACATCAGCAAGAAGCACTGATTCTATCTGCAAACATCAGTTATGCAGAACACAGGGTGCTATCAAAGTACAGTTCATTGTTACACAGTGTCTTGGCAGGATTTAAGCTGGTAACAGAAGTCTAGGTGATGGGGTTCCTTAAAAATTCATTGCTGTGCAGTGACATAAAGCAACATGTTTTGCTATCCAGCAATCATTTTAATTATGCTAATACTGGCTTGGCATCGAGCTGGTAAAGTAATGCACTGATGGATTTATTACATTGTGACTTTATACAGTCATTTCACAGATTTGTGCTTCCTTCCACCTCTTCCAGTCCATCCCTGGAACAATGACAAATTTTTGGTGTATTCTTGTCCAAAACTTACATACCTGGGTTCATTTCAAGTTATTAAACCTAAAAGAGTTTTTAAAATCTAATTTATTGTCCACCACCTGCACTGCAAATTTGCTTTTTGGATTCCACTCAAGACACTGTCATTGTTTATGTCTCATCCACAGCTGCATTGCACAGGAGAGATCAGCTCTTAAAAAGAAGTGCAATAAAGAGCTTCCTTTTCATAAACTGGTCAATTTTCACGCTAGTGCATTTTAGTAAAATACCACATTCTGCCTTGGTATTTGGAACACCATCACATCTAACAGTACTCTGTCCTAGATTTTGGGCCAGTCTCATTGTCTGCCATCCAAACTAAGAGGAGAACTTTAGGCACTTCTGACTATCTCCAGCCTACTTTCTCCTGCACAAATGCCATTAGACCCCTCTCTTTTAACTGCAAAAATTACTGTTAAATACCTGCACTCTTTGCAATACCACCTGAGAATTTACTGTACCTGTACAACGGTTTAGATTTAGAAAATGGGGGAAGCAGATGAGCTGGGTTCTCCTTCTGACAGCTCATTTCCATACTGCTCAACTAACAAGGAGTGGCTTATTCTCTTTCCATCTGCTCTGCAGGATGGTGTAGAACACTGATCCACAAACTGGATGGGGAGCTGGGTCATTAAAGTCTTCATCTCAACCACATTAGGCTTCCCTTCTACAACATGAACATTAGCTCTGGGTCTCCCACACAATATCCCAAATTTAACCAGCCAGGTGAGCTGCTTGGTTAACAAGTCTCCCTCCGCTGGATAACTGGCCTCTCAACTGCCCAGCAGGTTCAACAATGGTATGAGTTTAGTTGCTATGATTTTCATGTCTGTAATTTAGTTTTCCAAATAAATATTTTTTTTGTTTGCATACTGTTGTGTGCTTGCAAGCAAGAAAGCTGTCAAAAGCATTGTTTGGGACAGATAGTTTTCCTCATAATTTAGGTGAGGGCTCAAATTAGGTTAGCTCCCTTTAAGAAGACCCTTAAATATATACTTTGCTAGAATCCATGTGGTAGATCACTTACTGTTTTTCCTTTGTTGCCATGTAAAAGACATAGACAAGAATGTCTACCAGCAAAACGAAACAGTAGCATAAAAATACAGCTGCACCAGAACTGTTATCAAACGTTAAGAAAAGAATCTGAAGTGGCAGATGGAGGGAGGAGATGAGAGCGAGAAAAGCTGTGCAGTTTCAGTGATAATACCCATTTCTGATGTCTCAGGTAAAAAGACAATAAATACCTTTTCAGAAGAACACACATTTTATTTTTCTTTAAATTGGTGATCTGAAGTCTTCAGAGTGAATGTGGTGATTCCTTCATACTTTTGATACTTTTATCAAGAGCAATCATATTACACTAGCTCTTTGTCTTTATAACGGTCAAATTATATATCACTTCTTGATCGTGACAGCTACTCCTGTGGATAACCTCGCTCAAAGGATCAGCAGCAGACCTTCAGTTGTACAAAACAAGGGCTTATTCCATACAATTAAATTAATAGGTCATTCAAAAGCATAACAGAATAAATAGCTCTGTGATTTTCCCTAAACAGTTCCCAATATGGTGCTCAACATGTTTTGCCATCTCACCATGAATTGAATTGGTTACCATCTGTTTGGCATTCTTCTATTATAAGAGTAGGGGTTTCCCTTTATTTCTTTGGCCAAAATTCTCCTCCCTCACTCTGTTGCATGGTGCACCAAGGTGACCGTGTTCCAAAGATTGTTTGTGACTGCAACACCCTTCAGGCTGCTCGGGGTCTAAGACACTAACTAAATGTAAAAGTAAAAGATCAGGCATGCAGGTATGCCAACTATTTGCCAAGAACCTGGCACTCAAATTTTCATCCAAGCTAAGATCACCAGATTTTAATGGGCAGAGAGATGCCAAATCCCCCCTAACACCATCTGGCTGTGAACTTCTGTATTTACAGCAGCATCACTCTTAAATGTCTTCATCTCTGGAGCAGCAAGACACTCGTGACTGCTCCCAGAATGCTAACTTCCACCTTTACATGTGGCCAGAAGGTAATGAAAAAGGCTTGTGCTATCACAATTTTAAGAGCTAAGCATGACCAAAAAACTCCTAATTTTTGTCCTACCTTGGAAATCTCTTCAGCTCTGTTGTTTCCCAATTTTAATTCTAATCTATTCATGCAGACTGGGAGCAGTTTGCAGCATAAGCTTCCAGAGTATGTGGACCCCAGTTATAAATCGTGTTCTTCAGTGATTCTTTTGTTGAATGTTATGGCTGGTCTTTACCATAGCTAATCTATATATGCGTATGAAAACAAAAAATTATCCCATATCTGCTCTATCCCTTTCTCTATCTCGCCAGTATTTAAAAGATCTTGTAATAAACCAAGCTCTTCCATTTTTATCCTAGCCCTAAACCTGATCATAACTGGGCTACCACTTTCTGTATCAAAATAAAGGGTGAAACTTGGCTGACTTCAATACTATCATAAATCCTTGCTAATAGTAGCTCTGCCATTGCTTAATGGGACCTAAATAATCCTTAGATCCTAGGCACATATTTTTCCACTTTCTTTTCTTTCTTTTCCCAAACTATCACAAAATACCTAACTTAGATGTAATAGTCATGCATACTACAGGGGATAGAAATAGTTACACAATACATCTTCAGGAATAACAGTTATGGAAGAGGAAAGTAAATTCCTTTTCAGTGAAAGATGTGAAGACAAAGAGAAATAATCACCAGGAAAACAATTACTCTTTCTTTCTGCAGCATATTTAATTTCCTCCTTAGAATTATTGGAAAAGACCACTCTGCAACCATTCTCGTAGGATAAGCAGAACGGAAATGAAACTAAAAGACCTAAATGGCTGGTAGGTGTTTCTTCTGTAGACTTCCACTAGGAGTTAGGTGCAGAGCTACAGCTGGTAACATTCTTCAAGGTTGTTCTGATCTTAATATTAACGGCTTTTTTTGATTGTGTTAGCAATATGCCAGTAGTAGTATAATAGAGGTGCTAATGTTCACTGGGGGCTTTTTTATACATTGCTTTTATTTTCTTTCTATTTACAGAAGTAAAATCCATTAAAACAATGTTTTAAATATACATGGTAGCCTTTCTATTAGATACATAGCCACCATCTATCTTTTTATTTATGTATAAAAATGCAAACAGAAATATATGATGCTCTTCAGACCTAATCTCAGTTCTAAGGATCCCACATTCCGGTACACACTCCTCAGTGACTACCTGTTTTCTTATCAAACTCTCCTAACATACAGCCGTATGTTGGATTTCCCTATAAGCCAAAACATAGTCATGATAAATTTCTAGTGTGACCAAAATGAAATGGTAACTGAATTGGGTCACAAACAATCTTTTTTATGTGCAAACAGAGCATTTAACCACATGAAAGTGAAGCTTTTTTAAAAAAAAAAAACAAAACAAAACTGTCTTCCACATTATTTTTCCTGTCTTCCACATTATTTTTTATATTTATCCTAAAACAAATACCTCACTTCTTTCTGGAGAAATAATTTATTAACTTTTAGATGCAGGGAAAAGCAAATGATCAGTTATATATTTCAGGTTCAGGCTTCCTTTGTGCTATCAGAGGAACACCCCTGATTCCACAAAAATTGTTTTATAGA